TTCGACCCTCGTCAAACTCTGATTGTCGCTGCTGATGCCTGCAACACCGGGATTGGTGGAGTTCTTTTGCAACACTACGCTGATGGCAATGTTAAAGCCGTCTTCCACATGGCAAAAGCGTTATCCAGTTCTCAAAGGAGTTATAGTCAGATTGAAAAAGAGGCATTTGCGCTTGTCACAGCTATTGAACGGTTCAGGAAATTCATATGGGGTCGACATTTCGTGCTTCAAACTGATCATACGCCCCTGTTTGCGTTATTCCGTACTTCAAATACGAAAGGTTTACAGGATCGCACGGCTACCAGGCTCAAACGTTGGGCTCTTCGTTTACTTGACTATGATTTTGAGATTGAGTACGTCAAAACAGAAAATTTTGGCCAAGCCGATGCGTTGTCTCGTCTTATTGACCAGCAACGATTGGAGGCAATGATCCCGAAATGGAAGAAGTCATCGCTGCTGTGGAGGCGAGTGAACTTGAACTTCAGCAATTAACTCAAGAATCGCTTGGATCGACTAAAGCGCAACATCAGCGCAACATCTTCCGATCCAGTTCTTGTCAGGGTAAAAACCGACTCCAGCGTGGTTGGAAGAAGGCAGATGAAACAGATCATGACCTTCGACCGTATGCACTCAGATCAGTTTCGATTTCCATCGTCAAAAGTATTCTTCTTTCCAGTGACAGAGTCATTGTTCCTCAGTCGATGACAAAGCAAATTTTGGAACAACTTCATCAGGCACACCCTGGAATTCGCCGCATGAAAGAACTCGCTAGAAGGCATGTTTACTGGCCGAAGATAGCTGAGATATTGAAGCAATCGTTAGATCCTGTCTTCATTGCGCTCAGGTGTGCGACAAGCCATCAAAATTTCCTCTACACCCGTGGCCAGACTCGAGAAAACCTTGGAGCCGAATTCATACGGATCTTGGTGAAACAAGTAAGGGTAATGCATTCTTAGTCACCGTCGACAGCTTCTCAAAAGTTTTGGATGCCCAGTGGCTGAAACCTGCATCTGCTCATTCTGTTCTTGAGTACTTACGACAACTTCTTCAGCATTTGGGCCCTCCAGAAACCATTGTGACTGACAATGGCCGCCAATTTGTCTCAGCAGAGTTTGCTTCTCTCTGTGAGGAATTCAACATTGTTCATCTTCGATGTGTGTTTCTATGCCGCAGAGCAATGGTCAAGCTGAAAAGATGGCTCATCTGATAAAAACTTCTATTGAACAAGACGCGCTTTCTTTGGATCGTGCGGTGATGGCGTACAACTACACTCCCAACAGCACTGTTGATGGGAAATCTCCAAGCGAATTGTTTTTGGAAGGAAAACGAAGACTCCCTTCGACGTCTACAAACCGGCAAAAGCTTCAAGAGATTTCAACTCGTATCAGAAGATGAAACGCCAATTTGATGCTTATAACGGTGTCCGCAATCCTTGTTTTCAGATCATTAATCGCGTTTCAACCGAGTTGTGGAACGGTAAACGTGTCGGTGACACAGTTGTTCGCTTTATAGGTAATACAATGGCCCAAATTAACGTTCAAGGCGATATTATTGTTCGTCATTTCAATCAGTTATGAAAGCACCATCTGCTGTCTCGAGCCGGATATGTTTGATGATCCAAGTGTGTAACCTTCTATTTCGCGCGATATGCGAAATTCGGACAATTCAATTCAACAGGCGACTACTGAGCGGGACAATATTTCAAGTCGTTCACGCCGATGCAAAGTTCCAGTCGATTATCGTTTATTGGCCGGTTTCAAATACTATTGCAATCGAGTTTCATCCAAAGGAAGGAAGGAATGTTGAGGCCTCGATCTTTGATCATGATCTTCGAAAGTTCTAGGGAGATCTCTATTATAGATTTTTCTGCAAAGTGTTCTGTAATGTTCTTTGTGATTCCATATAGATCGGGTTGCAACGTTTAGTGTTTTTTGTTGTGCTCTACTTCCTGTATAAATACCCCTGCTTTTGTTGTGTTGTTCGTTCGTTGGCTAATGTAGTGTTGTGGATAAACCGACTTTTCTTCTGCATCGCTTCGACAACCCTGTGTCGTCGTCAACTCAACCCTCGGACCCAACAGATAAGCTTCAGTAAATCCTGTCGAACTTATTTGCCCTTAGCTTCACTTAAGCATAAGCTTCACTGATTTTGCTTTTTTTCCTTTTAATCACAAATTCAGGTTTGTTTTAATTCACTTTTCTTTGTAGTGCCGTGTTGGTGTATTTTCCTCTTTACTGCTATCTGCAGTTCTTTCTTCGAACTCCTGACTAGCCCCCTTCTTCCCCTCCTGTATCTCCTTCCCAACCCCTGCCTCCAGAGCCACATCGGGGCACCTATCACCTCCAACCACTGTCACCGTTTATCGTTCTGAACCCCTAACCAGCAACTTCATCCCTCCCCACTATCCTGGCCTCAGTCGCGCTCTTTGAGCTGTATCTAGGCAATTATCAACCAACACCCCCTTCCCCAATCACGTCCAATCCTCCCACCCATCGCCCCCCCTCCCCCCAGCCATGTAATTTAGCCGCCAGACACGGGGCAGCGCTACCCAGCGCGTCTGGCAAATCTCAGCATGCGGTGCTGCGAAATAGTGTTGGCAGAGATGATAGAGCGAAGCGCTAGAAGGCTAAAGCGGCACAGACCATTAGCCATGCCGAACCGGGGGGTAATTGTGATTGCCCGGAAAAATCGTTTGCAAATCGCGCATGGTGCTTGGCCGAGCCTAGCCGAGTCGATTTTTAGTAGCTGAGCTTCCCGGCGCAGATAAAAAGCCGGACGATTTGGGATTTAGGACTCGGTCGTTAAGCGAGGTTTGAGATTACTGCGGTGCGGCGATTTTCCGAAAAAAAGCTTGTGTAGTCGTTTGGTGTTGTGAGGGTGGCGGGGCGGATGCTTGTTGCTTTGCTTGAGGACTCTCCCTGCGTATGGCCAGTGGTGCAGCAACGACAAAACACTTCTTGTGCAGCAATCACATCCTGAATGGTGGCTGTTTGAGATTCATTATTTTCTGCTAGAAGTTGAATTGTTTTGCTGCACACATTGGCGGATCCAGAGGGGGGGAGGGGTGCGCGAGTGTCTTTCGGCACCCTTCCTCCCCCCAAGGGCACAAGTTGCAGTGTTAAAAGTGAAGAAAATTGTCTTGATATCATTGATCCTCTCACCCCTCCTTCCCCCCCCCCCCCCCCCCCCCCCCCCCCCCCCC